AGAGGTTTGGGATGGAGGAGGGGGTAACAATGCAATTAATAGTGAGTTGTAGTTTATTTGATTTAAGGGTAATATGGTCATTTTAACAGTTTTGTTCTGTCATGTCCTAGTCGTACCAAACATGGGACAGACAATTAGTCTTGTCCCGTCCTGTCCCGTCCCGTCCTATCCAGTTCAGTCTGCGTACCAAACACTACCTAAAGTACTTATCGGGTAATTTTCCTCACCGGATGAACATGACAAAGACCAAGAATCTTATCAGTTAAGAGCGATGATAAGGATGGAGAGTCTTACCCGGTAAGTGAGAGTGATAACTCTTACCCGGGTAAACACTTACCAGGTAAATTGTTGCATATGATACGTTTTGATGTACTACAATCATACCCAATAAAATAAATTATAGTGTTGACTCCTAATGTTAAGCACTTATTGGGTAAGCATTTAGGTAAACGGTTCCTTAGTATGATATCCCCATTGAAAGCAGTATGCAACAATATGGTGAAAAAGAATTACCCACTTATCAACACGAGCAACAACGTTGGCCTAGAATTAAAAGACCCAATTACGTAAAATGTAGCTCGACAAATATACGACGAAAAACATCAAGAGTAATGTGATTGAATGTTGATAGAAGAATGAGGTTAACATATGGATGAAAAACACACAAGGCTACGAGTTATGATATCTAATTTGATCAAGCAAATTAACCTCGCGTTATGATATCTGATCAAATATAATGATATGCCTCTGAAGCTAACAGCCAGATGGAAGACTACAGACCAATCATAACCCACCTGGCATGTAGCAGTTCAAATATGAAAACTGCCGTTTGACAAAATAGATTATCAGACATAATTTCTACCAAGGAGTGTGTTTGAATTAAGGCATGACTCCCGACACATAACATCTCGGTTAACATTAGTTGCCGTAAGTTTCAAACGGAATGAATTTAACTTGTGGGTTTAAGGTATTAAGAAACGTTAATGTGAGATGTACGATTAACATTAGTTGTCGTAAGTTTCATAAGACTCTTGAGAAGAAAGTCGAGATGTGATGAATGTGTAGATAAAGACAAAAAAAAAAATATGGAATATTGTTTTTTTTTTCTTTCTTGTGAAATGTTAGAAGATAAATAATTTTTTTAAATTATAGTTTTAGTTGAAGTTCAAAATATATTTTTGTTATCGAATTAATCATTATTTAACTAATTTATAACTGTGACATAAATAACGTCGTTATAATCAAATTGTATATTAAAACTTTAATTACACAAATCAATTAAATAAAAGAAAACGAAGAAGAAAAACAAAAAGGTGCTCCAAAGATTCAAACAAGGGTTTGTTGATTCAACAAGAATGTAAACCGGACAATTTAAGACATTGGTCTTGTATCTTTTTTTTTATTAACCTGGATATTCAATCCGTTATGCGAGCCGACTAATCTTAGGGCGACCACCTGTTTTGCAGATAGTCCGGAGTCATCACATTTGAACTTCCGTGGCCACAAAGGGATTTTTATTTTTTCTTGGATTTGAACTAGGACCTCCAGGTACTTTTGATTTTTGACCAATCAGGCACCACCCTTGTTTGATAAAGAAATGGKGGGGGGGGGGGGGGTTCAGCCAGCCCTCCTACTGGCTCAATCACCGGAGAGGATTGTCCTAACAGTTAGAGTTTAAAATCTGATGATAGATTGACATATAAGCAGGTTGTTATGAAGATCTTCAACAACTCGAATAAGTGATTCTTGAGAAACTTCCCACAACATTGTCATGAGATTTACAATGACCCGCAGTAGCACGATGCTTGATAATCTATCGACAAATTGATTTACCTAGCGAACTTGGAAGCTTAATCGATGGGTTTTTGAAGTTGGAGTACATCGATTTAAGCACGTATTTATTGACTAGAAACATGTGGTTTTTCATTCCACATGTTTAAGAAGTTTGTAGTGCAAAAAAAAAAGGAGTAAACAACAAGCTCCAGAACTAGATTTTCTCATATAATTGTTATTTATAGGCATGGTTGTGGGAAAACTCACGTACTAATGAAATCCACAAGAGATTTCAAATTGCATGAATTTAACCATCTTCAACATGTGGAGACACTAGATTTTCTTATACAACTGTAGCCTAGAAGTCTAAATGATGAACGAATACTCTACTTGTGTTTTATGATGTAGCATTACATACCCAGACGATTGTCTCAATTTTGATCTCAGTCTTAAATTTTCAACCCCTTATTTGCAAATATGACTTAGGGGATGTTTACTTATATCTTTCCACCTCTTACCAGATGAAAGGCTCTTATTCTAGTAAGAGTGTTTACTATACACAAATTAACTTTTAACCACTGACCGTGCATCTGTCCGGAGACAGAGACAACATTCATGCTTGCCACGGTCAGCGACTACTTTTCTTTATCTACCCTCCCTCAGTCATCTGCCCCAACTTCAAGGGAAAACAAAAAAAATCCCGTCATCACTATCCCTACCTTTATTATCACCATTTCTTGCTTCTATAACAGACAAGGAAACCCCTGAAAAACCCACCTTAGGTTAGGTGAGGTTACTATATCAAATGAACCCAGAAGAACTTGAATACATGGTATCCTTCAACGAATAGAGCAACCTAATCGAAGATATTTCGGTTTTAAAGAAAAGTTGTTTGATAAGTTCAAACTATATTCCACGAACCATCATCAACAATTCCTAAATCAGAAGAAACACATTTCTAATATCACTTCACCGCCTAAAGAGATCTCAATTTGTGGCATACCCCTTTAGTCGTCATTACCCTAGTCAGACCTTTTATCAGGGTCAACACTTACCCATGGTTTTTGGTAAACAGTCCCTTAGAGTATCAATATATGTTCGTAAGCAAAAAAGAATTTAAAATTATATTTAAAAAGTTTGATAAATAACATTTTACGTTAACACTCAATACAATACATATGGTAAACAATGATTTTCAATTAACATTTACTCCAGAAAGAGGGATATAATGGTATTTTTTACTCAATCAGCACTTACACAATGTTTGGTAAACAAAAAAAAAAAATCCAATTTACTCTTTACTCCAGTCAGACCTCTTATCCAAATCAACATTTAACCAAAAAATTGGATGAATAAGCGACAGGGAAAGAAATGA